TTTCGTACCTACTATAAGCCTATACAATGGCTTCAGGTCTTCAAGGATCCGATGGACCAACTTGCCAGCTGGCAAGAGTTCCTTCAGAACTTTGAGTTTGAATGTCAGTATGGTCCCGGCCCTCGACACGGCAACACCGACGCCTTCTCCCGCTTCCCTTCCACGTCTAACGTAGATGTGTCTACCCCCCACGATTCCGTTACTGATCTACAAATCTTTATGACCAGTCGCCATGAATAGTCCTCTTCTCAAAGTGTCTATCCTGACGCCACGATTATTTATGGCTACGTGGTCGAAGGTCACCCCAAACTTTGCGAACAGGGGATACAGGGGCCGCCTGCTATTAAGCCAGTGGCCCCATCTGCTCGTCGAACGTGAAATTTTGTTCTGTCGAGATCCTGATTTCCACCAATTACGCCCCGTAGGCCCCGGAAGCCTAGTGGATCCCAACTGCACCAACCAACACACGTAACTCGAACACTGTGGTCAACGGCGCACTGAACTAGCAGTCTGAGCTCATCTCTGGGAGCCCCAGCTAAGGTCCTCCTTTAACCATTTCTGTCAGAGCTGCTCAATTTGCGCATCCCAGAAATATCCTTATCCCCCACACCTCACGTCATTCCACGACTAAAGACTACCAGTTTCCGCGCCGAACGTTTCGGACTCGATATTGTCGGCTCTCTTCTTATCTCACTCCTAGGGCTTGAATATTTCCTAGTCGTGGTCGACTATTTCACCAAGTGGGTAGAAGCCATTCTGTTGTTAAGCCAGGAAGTCACTTCAGTGATTACCGCCATTAGTCACACCTGGATTATTCGTTATGGTGCGCCTATGTCCTTCCACAGTGACTGTTGTAGTGACATTGATTTACAGCTGCTAAAGGACGCCTGCGACCTCCTCGAGATCCATAAAAACCCGTACTAGGCCTTATAATCCGGAGGGCAATGGATTCTTGGAACACACCTACTGCACCCTTCCTAATCTCCTACACGTTTTCTTCACGTTTTATAGAAAATAACTGGGGCATTGAGCTAACACTTTTTCTCCTTGCATATCGAGGGTCGATTCATTCCTGCACCTGATTCGAGCCCCATTATCTCTGGACCGGCCATAAGATCCGCCTCCCTTCTGATCCCTGTACCGTAATCAGAAAGATATTTAGGTCTAGTATCCATTCAGCTAAGTCATTTCCGATTTCAAACGTGGGCGGGGTCAGCATGCAGGAGGGGGTGGGCGGAAAAACGACGGTTGGATTAGTGGGTAGATAGGGGTGTGTATGGGCGGGGGTAACGAAGTAAGGTGTAGAACCGTTACCGTCTGCCGCAAATGTAGTAGCCGAACGGAGGGGAGGCGGATGGTTTGACAGAACGTTATCGCTTTGATTTACTATACTGACTGGAAGAATAGGTAACGGAAGATAATGCTCCACGGACGGATTCGTATTCACAGTCCTGTCAGACTGGGTAGACGGAATAGGTTACCGTAAACAAGCTCGGTGGCACTGCATTGGAAGTCACCCCTGACGACTGAGTGAATGCCTAAGAGTACGAGTGGCAGGTTGTCGCTCCAAGATACGGGGTCGGGATGAGGCATCTCTGCGGACTTCAGTTGACGGTGTAAACGGTCCACGAGGCTGTTGGAAGCGGGCTGGTATGCAGTGGTTGTAAGGTGCGCGCACTCGAGCAGTTTAGTGAACTTGCCGAAGAGGTTGAAATTGACTTCTGCTGTCAGTCATGATAGTATCTGGAACACGAAAATTGGAAATCCAGTGAGGCAGGAAACCCATGGCAATCAACTATGGTTTAGAGTGGTTCGTTACACAGCGTTGTATCCAATACGTTCAAATAAAATTCAGTCAAGAAAAATGGGGGAGAAGAATTTTGAAGGTCAAAATAGTCTGGGACCTTAGCACAATATCCCCGGCTAGACCGAAGGCCGCCTAAAAAATAAACGACGCTGAAGGAAATACGCACGACTAAACAGGGTGAGTAAATGGACGATCGGGGAGGTAAACGTGGCTTACACTGCGGGAAATGTATGCGACAAGTGCAGGGAAAGAGTAACTTGTGGTAGGAATGTTGGGGGTTGGGGATCGATGGCAGTAGAGATGATGGAAGACGGAACAGATGGATAGAGCGTCGGGGAACAGGGAAAATGGGGACCATAGAGCTCGTACGGTGGAAAGTCCGGGAGTACAGCTTTGAGGCGATCCACGCTCACAACGTCCCTGCGTGTTCCATGAAGGATACGAGAGTTCTTCTCACCTCTAGAGGTAACCCGGAAGGGACTGGCGGCGTCGGTCACGTCATAAAAAAAACACGAGAGCATGTCGTCAAGTCTTTATCGAGATGAGACTTGGTAATGGTGGACCTGGGCGGAACTAGCAAAATCGTCCGCGCAAACTGCCAGAGACGTGCATGAGGTTGGCAGGAACCTGGACTGCATTTGGAGGAGTTGGAGAGGACATCTTACCGGGAAGTCGAACTGTGGCGCCGAACGTCAGTTCAATGGCGGAATAGTCAGAATCCGGCTTGAGAGAGAAGCCGCTGCCCAAGACTATCAGGGAGAGATGGTCTGTACCGTTCTTTGGATCGGCAGCGGCGCGTAGGGAAGCCCTCAGCTGCCGGTGGAACCGTTTGACTACCCCGTTGGCATCCGGATGATAGGCTTTAGTACGGATGTGAGCGCAACCTAAAGAAGAGAGAAGAG